CTCGAACTCATATAAGATGGATGACAATAACGAACCTCAAACCAACGTAGTGTCACTTCACTTACCACCTTTTTGGCACAGCGATCCGGCCATTTGGTTTACGCAAGTTCAAGCACAATTTGCCCTCCGCAGAATTACACAGGAGATGACAATGTTCTATCATGTGCTTGCCGCATTACCATCAGAAGTAGTTGCCGATGTTCGAGATATTTTGTTATCTCCCGACCCCATCACTCCATTCCAACAGCTCCGCGATGCTCTAATCCGTCGTACCTCAATTTCAGAACACAAAAGGCTAGAACAACTTCTAGCAGATGAAGCACTGGGAGACCTGACACCATCGCAACTCCTGCGCCGTTTGATTTGCGTTAAGGGAGAACGAAAGATAGACACTGGTCTATTCACTCAAATATTTTTAAAACGGCTACCTCAACATGTCCAAGCCATTCTAGCCCCATCCGTAATGGAAGTTCCAATTGATAAGTTGGCAATGATGGCGGACCGTATACTGGATGTCCAACCGCAGGTCAACTCGCTAGACCACCATACCCCCGGCCCATCAAATAACGATTTATCAGATCGGATAACACGATTGTCACAACAGCTAAATGAGATGAGCATCTCTAGGGCACCTCATTTCAGACGTCGATTGCGATCTCCTTCCCGCAACTCCAAATGCCGTAATTTCCCCCGATCTCCTTCACGTTTTTACTCACATAGTTCTTCGTCTAGTCAGGCATCGAACCCCGCATTTTGTTGGTACCATCAGACATTTGGACCAGAGGCAAGGAAATGTAGACACCCCTGTACATTTAGATCACAACTGAGAGTGGATTTTAAGGCTCCGGGAAACGAATAGGGCGGATCTGTGAGGCGACCATGATCTGCCCGACACATACCAATCGCCGACTGATCATACAGGACCGGACATCCGGACTACATTTCTTGATCGACACGGGAGCGGACATCAGTGTCATACCCCCCTCTCAAAGCCAGCATGCCCTCAAACAGAGCTCACTACGACTGACTGCAGCTAATGGTACATGTATTTCCACTTTTGGACAACGCTCCTTAACTCTGAACCTTGGTTTACGTCGCTCTTTCACATGGGTATTCATCGTAGCGGATGTCAAACAGCCCTTACTTGGTGCCGATTTTTTGACCCATTTTAAATTGTTAGTCGATCTTAACAATCGTTGTCTCCGAGATTTGACGACCCGATTACCTGTTACTGGTCAGACTACTACAAATCCATCATTCACACCAAGCCTTTTTGCCGCGAATATGTTTGATTCTTCATTCTCCGCAATTTTACGTGATTTTCCTGCTCTCCTAAAACCGAAGTTCCATCAGACGGAGATTAAACACGACGTAACCCATCGCATAGTAACCCAAGGTAATCCAGTGTACGCTCGCCCACGTCGAATGAATCCTGATAGGATGAAAATAGCTAAGGCTGAGTTCCAACACATGCTCCAATTAGGAATAATACGTCCCTCAGAAAGCACTTGGTCATCACCTCTACACATGGTACCGAAATCAGATCCAAATGACTGGCGACCCTGTGGCGACTACAGAGCTCTAAACAATGTTACAGATCCTGACAGATACCCCATCCCACATATACAGGATTTCACATCGAACATTGCTGGTAGCACAATCTTCTCGCACATCGATATATTCAGAGCATACCACCATATTCCGGTGCATCCTGACGATATACATAAGACCGCAGTTACCACTCCGTTCGGTATGTTCGAATTTTTACGTATGCCTTTTGGATTGCGTAACGCTGCGCAAACTTTTCAACGGTTTATTGATCAAGTCTTACATGGTCTACCTTTTGTTTTCGCGTACCTGGACGATATTTTAATAGCCAGTAAGACACCAGAAGAGCACAAACTACATTTGCGTACGTTATTTCAGCGTCTAGACAAATTTGGTATCACCATCAACCTACGAAAGAGCACCCTAGGAGTTCCGTCATTAGATTACCTAGGTCACCGAATCGATAGCACTGGTCTGACACCAACAGATCACAACTCGTTATCGCTCACAACGTATCCTCCCCCGACATCCTTCCGCCAACTCAAGAGGTTTCTGGGAATGATTAATTATTACCGACGTTTCACCCCGCATGCAGCCGAGATTTTAGCTCCTCTAACAAATCTCTTGGTTGGACCTCAGAAACATTTTGAAATGTCCGATGCCGCTACGCAAGCTTTCACGCAAATAAAAAGCGTTCTTAAAAATCAATTGAATCTGTTTCATATCCGTCCGGACGCAATGTTGTCTCTTCACACCGACGCTTCCAATACAGCCGTCGGAGCAGTTCTGAATCAACACGTTAATAATCAACTGCAACCCATTGGCTTCTTCTCAAAAAAATTGATGACGACGGAAACACACTATAGCACCTTTGGCCGGGAACTTTTAGCCATTTATCTAGCTATTAAGCACTTTCGACATCTTCTCGAAGGCCGTGAATTTTGTGTTTTTACTGACCACAAGCCGTTAGTCTCCGCCTTCCTTGCTAAGCCCGACCGCTATTCACCTCGTGAGATTCGTCATCTCGATTACATCTCACAGTTCACATGCGACATTAGACACATAACTGGTGCTAGTAATATTGTAGCGGATAACTTGTCCCGACCGGCTATCGACGAGATCACCGGTATATCCTCCATCGATTTCCAACGCATGGCACGACTGCAGAAAGCTATGCCACTACCGACGCATACGGATAAGCAATCCTCATCGTTGAAGATACGACCATTTCCGATACCTTCGGCACCAGGTACAATTGACTGTGATATGGCGACAAATAACCCCAGACCATGGGTACCCGAACCTATGCGTAGAGAAATATTTAACGCTCTTCATAACGTTTCTCACCCTGGAATCCGCGCGACACTTCGTTTAATAGCGCAACGTTTTGTTTGGCCGAATATGAACGTGGACATACGCAAATGGGCTAAACATTGCATACCGTGTCAACGTTCTAAGGTCGTTCGGCATACGCGCTCTGATACTGGTACTTTCGCACAACCAGATCGCAGATTCGACCATATTCATATTGATATAGTTGGTCCACTACCCCATTCAAACGGAAATTCATACATTCTGACTTGTATAGACCGTTTCACTCGATGGCCTGAAGCCATTCCTATTGCGGACACATCGACAGAAACTATTGCTCGCGCACTGATTACCAGATGGATTGTCATTTTCGGTGTTCCTTCCTACATAACCACTGATCGAGGTTCACAATTCGAGTCACACCTTTTTCAGCAACTGACCGAACTACTCGGTTGCAAACGTATACGTACAACGGCCTATCACCCACAAGCGAACGGTTTAGTCGAACGTTTTCATCGACACTTAAAAACCGCTTTCAAAGCAAACGGTGATTCAGCTAGATGGACAGAACAACTCCCACTCATCCTACTTCACATACGCACGATGTTTCGTACAACACTGAACTGTTCACCTGCTGAGTTGGTCTTTGGCACAACATTACGTATACCCGGCCAATTTTTCACGCCTGACACAGCAGTACTCAGTGACCCTCCAACGTATGTGGCTCGTCTGAAAACGCACATGAGCAAACTGCAATACTGCGCATCCACTTTCACAACAAAACTACCCCACATTCCTCCAGAACTTTCGACCTGTACCCATGTTTTCATTCGCACTGACAGGGTAAAACAACCTTTACAACCTCCTTATGAGGGCCCGTTTCCGGTACTTTCACGCCAAGAGAAATACTTCACCATTCTATGGCGTGGCAAACCTGATACTATCAGCATAGATCGTTTGAAACCGGCGTATACGGATTCAGTGGAGACATACCACACGGACAACGATCCAACACGCACTGACAAGGCCAAGACGCTGACGACCGACAATACACGACCACCCACAATTCCGGGACGAAATCAAGAACGCACCACGCGATCTGGAAGACAGGTACATTGGCCTGACCGTTTTGTTGCAGGCTGACACAACTCAGGCCCCGATGCATACCCTTTTTCAAGGAGGAGGGTATTGTGAGGTCGCATTGCACATGCACTTTTGATTCCGTTACACTATCTTCGGAACGGAAGATTTCATCACCACGTGCACGTGTACTTAAATCCGAGGTCAACCTAATAAAACCTAGTTTTATCGAGATTGCCTTGGATACCACATCCTCACATCGTGTAATTGAGTCGCGTGACTTACATCACGACCGAGGTCAACAAAACAAAACTGTTTCATTCTTATCGAGATTGTCTCGGATAACACATTCTCACATTGTGTACTTCTCTTCCCCTTGACCTACATTCACACATCGTACTACGTACGGCCCACATGTTTGAACGCCTGAATGAAGTATTATATAAAACCGTATAGTACATCGACAACGACATTCCCCCGACCGACTACAACGAACGTCACACGACCGTCCCGACTGGTGCTTTGACAACCGTCAAGA